GACAACATTCACAAAGAGTTTTGAATTTTATTGCTTTGATTATGTCAAACTGAAATTATTGATGGTAATCTGTATGTGTTAAACACAAATATTAATATATCTATTTATTTTCAAAAATAAATTTTAAGTACAGTTCATATCTATATTAACAGAACAATTTTAATTAAATTTATTATTTCAAAGAGTAATGATTAAAATAAAAATTTGTTATTTTCTTTCATAACAATCATACACAATATTTTTTTTCTCTTTCTATTATTAAACAGTATGAATAATTATTGTTGTTTACCGCATATATTTTTTTACATAACGTTTTAAAAACATATTAATCAATACCGATAATATTCATTACGTTTGATAAAGCTAGAAGATAGATAATATAAAGTGAATTTTTTACATATGCACATAATCACTATAAATAAAAATACTCAGCTTTTAAAAAGTTCTGTACTTTATTCGTACGTCATCATCACGACTCTGTTTACACAAAATAATTGTTCGATTCTCGTGTCAACGAACGTCAGAGAAATAAACAACTATGTTCCTCCACTTTCAAAAACTTCTCTGCAATGAAAATGTCAATTCTATAATAACACATAGCAGAATATTTGATTGATTATCGATTATTTTGAACAGTGAAAATTGAGCTTAAAATACGAAAAAATCAATGATCAAATACGCATTAGTTATTTTATTTATTTTACTTTTAATAACTCTCGTCAGTCTTTCAATAACTGCTCTGATTATGAGTAGTGGGAAATTTTGGAAATGTCCTGGTCAACCACGTACATTTGAATGGTTACTGGGTTTTGGCATATTTGGTATTTTTTTTTGTTGGCTCAGCATTATTATTGTAAAATATTCATACTAGCATATCATGTGTATATATATATATATACTTTTTTTTTCATATAGTTCATTGAAAAATTTATTTTTTCTGGCTCCATCAATCGTCGTCCTGTTATGATTCTATATGGCATAATGATAGCTATTCTTTTTGTTTTTGCAGCTATCTGGAGTATAATAGTAAGTATCAATATATATATAATATTTATTGTAAATAATCTTTTTATTTTAGGGTTTGTATTGGTCGAATACAAAATCCTTAAAACAAAATTCTTATTATTACATTAATGGACAAAATATCTATTGCCATCCAACAATTCTAGGATTTAGCAACGGAATAAGCATTTCTCTGCTTGTATGTTGCTCAATAGTAGGAACTGGATTATTTTATGCATGTAAAGATTTTCATCGTTGAAAAACTTTTTTGTTATTTAAAATAAATTAACAATTGATTCTTTTCAGAAGATAATTTCAATGTATTTTACAATTTATTCATTTATTTCATATTTCAGAACAAAAAACTAAAGATAAAAGCGATGATTATCGTAAAAAAATAAATAAATCTCATTCACATTTAGTGAATTCATCGATACAAAAAAAAATGAAATAAATGTATATTTATGTAGAATGCAAAGTATAGAAAAATAATAAATAATAAAATTATAGATTTTCTTGTATTTTTCTTGCTATATGTTCAATCATTTCATAAGCAATATTAAAACTTATCGGACCATGTATAAGAAGATGTGCCCCATGAAATGTTGTGGGAAAATGATGATGATACAAAGTCTTGTTCAATGATTTCAAACGTTCAGCAAAAATAAAACCTAGAATGAAAAAATATTAAATAACGATCCACTTTATTTAAAAATAAAATATATATTTACCCTCATCTCTGAGTATATCATATTCAGTAGTAAAAAGTATAATTGGCGGTAATTTTGATAGTTCTTCATCCGAAACTAATAATGGTGACATTTTAGGTGATATAAGAAATGATAAATTTTGAATTAAATCTTCATCGCCTTCTTCATCACTATCAAATGGAAGCGAAATCGGTAAATATTTTTGAGCATCAACATACGGACGTAATCGTTTTTTATCTTTTGCCGATGTATGATTATTAAATAAAACATCACGTGTAACTTTTATTTTACTTTGAGTTAATTCAGACATAACTTCAAGAAAGTTCTGTTCATTAATAACACCGAGAATATTTCGCGGTAAATATAATCGATAAGAAGGTAATGTAAAATCAAAAAATTGTAATGCGGGATAGATCAAACAAGCAGCACGAGGACTAAAACCATCTCTCAATAATGATTGTGTTATAACTAAAGCTAAATTTCCCCCAGCAGAATCGCCTGCTAAAGTTATTCGATTTACATCAATACGATAATTAGCAGCATTTCGAAATAATTCATAAGTAATTGAAGTACAATCATCAAGAGCCGCTGGAAAATAATGTTCGGGTACACGACGATATCTATAAAAATTAATTTTCCGTCTATTCTGTACAAATTGAAAAAAAAAAGATTTACTCGACTGATATAACAAGTGCACGTGTTAAATTAGCCAATGCATATGTAACTTGATCATATGTTTCACGACATCCTAGAAGCCAACCACCTCCATGAAAATGTATAATTGTTGGCATTTTATCTTCATGTGCGAATTCTTCCGGTTCATAAATTCGTACACTAATATTTAATATTTTTCTATCATAAACCTATAAAACAGTTCTTTATTAATAGTTCAATTATACAATAATCATTTCATTTCTACCTTTAAATGATGTTCAGGATCTCGTACTTGAAAACAACCGACAGCAATATAATAAAGAAAACGTAAAACATGAATACGATCAAATAAATTCACTTGTTCACCTAAATATCCCTGAAAAAGAAAATAATTCAATTGAAAAATAGAATATTTTTGTGTGTATATAACTTACTATTTTTGAAAAAAGATGTGCCCAAAATGAAAGAAATCGATATTTCCATGGTTGAGGAAAATTCTCTGGTAATGGTTGATAAATAAGCGAAATAGATAAAGCCGATAAACCAACTATAACTAAAAAAATGGTTTGTTTTGATACAGTTTGTTTTGATGCAATTTGTTTTGAAGGGTTTTTAATTTCATTTACTGTCGTCATTTTATATGTCCTGTATACTGAACTTGTTGTCTACTGGATCAGGCCATATTCACACCATATATATATATATATATGTTATGTTCTATTCTGTTCGTCACCTGTAAAAGAACGTCAAATTTGATAAGAAAAAGAAAAAAGAAAACTTGATTCAAATAAGGATACATACGTTAGTTTATCATCTTGAGTAAATAATAAAAGATTCATTTGTCTTTTTTTTATTTCGTCTTCTATCATAGAAGAAAAATATTTGTGAAGGGGTATTGAGCAAACATCGTTTCATGATGAGTCATCTTCATTGTTGTCTAAGATTTAACCAATTAAGTTACACAATTTTTCTTTCTTTATCTGCCTTCTTTCTGTATGGTGCTGTTCATATTCCAATTGTAATAGTTTTATTGGAGAAAGAAAAAGAACAAATGTCGCTTACTTCTTACATAGTTGTAAGTTATTTAAAAGACGTGAAATGTCTTCTAATATTTAGAATAAAGAAAAGATAATATTTGTTAACTACAAAGTTATTATCTTTCTACACATTAATTAACTGCATCTCTTGTTCAAAACTATAGTTTTTTATTTAATTTAGTCTATATTGAACAAGATTAATAGTTAATATAGACTATACTAAATCATATCAATCGTCTATGTTGTATAATAAACCTTGTGGTTAAGAAAACAACTAGTATTGCAATTAACAAAATGTTTTGCATCAGTTTGCTTTTAGGATTTAAAATGTCAGACATCTAGGGTCACCTACAAAACTATTCTTATTGGTCTTCTATTAATAGCCAATACGATTCTCTATGCTGTTTCATTCAATAACAAAAGTTGTAGAATAAAATGTGAATGAATGTGACATATACGAAAATGAAAAATAGTAATCAATTGACATGTTTAGAAAATCTTCCTAATGAGATATTTACATTCGATATTTTTCCTTTATTTTCATGGCAAGAACTATATCGTATTTTTTTCGGTTTAAATCAACGTTTCAATACTATTCTCAAAACTTCAAATCATATAAATTTTACTGTTGATGAATCAAATAAACATCATCCAGCTCTTACATTTTTTAATTCATCCATCATATGTCTCAAAGTGTGTCTTGGACAATTTGATGTTACACCATTTTTAGCACTTCGTTCATTAACTCTTCAATATCCAAGTTTACAACAACGAAATTCAATTCGCCCAGAAAATTTTCCTTATCTTGAATATTTAAATCTATCTTATCCACTTGAAGATTCGATTCTTTTAAATTTGATTTTTTCCAATGGATTTAAATATTTAAAAAACTGTAAACTCGATCAAACAACTACTAATTATTCTTGGCATGGTTCACCAAAACTTCGTTCATTATCGATCAGTGTTCATAATTTATACGGAATTATTTGTGTACTTCATGCTTGTCCAAATATATTTCGATTGAATATTATTGTATATGATAAACCACAAAATAATATTTCTCTTACACTCCATTCTAGTTTTAGTTTGGATTTAATTCAATATCTTTTTATTCGTTCAACATTCGAAATATTTACTTCAATTTTAACATTTATGCCTAATCTTAAATCCCTCACTTTTGATAATAGACAATACAGTGATAATAAAAGTCCAGAATTAATTTTGACCAGTTTAGCTAAAGTTCTTACAAATCTTCGTCAACTCGATTACGTCTATTTTACAATAAACACTTCAATCTGGAATGGAGATAGAAATCAACAAACTTTGCATCCACTCTTTCGAAACGTTCGAGGTACTGGAACTTCTATAATTATTGCATCGAATTAGAACAGTGACAATTAAATCATAAAAATGTGTATATGACTCAGTTAAAGTAATCATATATCCGGTATTCTTTTTTCATTTCAATAAATAAATTATTTTATTATTCATACTTTTTTTTTCGAGAATATAATTCAAATATCTCTAAATGACTATTGATGATTAGAATAGAAAAGAAAAGAAATTCATAGTTATAAAAAAATATATTTAAGAATTACTAAGGATAAGTAAAGGAAATTAGAAGGGTCATTGAATTTGCATCACATGCATAATTATTTCTTATAGTAGATGTATAGTTTTGTGTAGCAGATAAATTAGTATTATTTGAGCGTTTGATGTCTATTGTTACAGATATTGGATCTGCACTAGTTATATTCGGATTGAAAAAATATGGTTCAAAACAGACATAATAGGTGCCTGTTGGTGGAACAGATCCACCGCTTGACCAGAAAACATTTTCTGGTCCCGTTCCATTTGTACAATCTGCATCTAGTTGACCTTGATCAGTAGAAATTGATGGACCCATATTCATATAATTAATAGTATTACCATTTGGTGTACTGACTACAATATCACCATCTCCTATTCGAGACCATGTTAGAGTACAAGAGAGATATCCAATACCCACGCACACACCTAGTACACATGTTTGTTGTGAACTACATGCTGGTGAGCAAGTAATATCTAATAATAACAGTAATGATATATTTGTCGTCAATCAAAAATTTCAATCAATTTACCTATAGTTGTGACTGTAGAAGTACTTGTCGTTGATGTTGTTGTTATAATGGTGGTAGTACTTGTT